ACAGATGAAGTGTGTTGGAGGGGTTATGACCCACATCCCTGGAATGTGGCTCTGCCTCTCTTAGTGCCTCTGAAACACATCTGAGTAACCACAGACAGCTCAACCCCTGGAAAAAGCACCGACTTCCATCACAAGATGAAGCCCAGCCTAAAACAGGCAGAAATTAGTGGGAAGTGTATTTTACATTCTAAATATAGACCGTGCTGCTCTTCACAGTGGAAAGCAGCTTCGCAGTCGCTGGTTTTGAAGCACAACTGACTAATTGTTATTGAGCTAATCAGCATCACTCACACAGCATTCCTGATGGCACCAAGCTCTGCTGCTGGGGAAGCTCCCATCCTCCCACTGCTCTCTCCCAGACTCTGTCAGAAAATGGCCAATAAACACTGAACATTCTTCTCTCATGCCACTTCCTTCATGCAAGGTCTGACTGCAGACATCTGCAGATCCACCTTTTTGGTCTTTCCTGGGAGTTACCATCCTCACATTTCTTCTCTAAGCCTGTACTGCAGGAAAACCCCACTTTGCCTGTTTTGCTGATCAGTCTCACTGCTTTATCTGGTGACCTTCTGTTTGTTGTGTTGTGTTTGGCTTTAGAATCCACTAAACTATTGCTTATCTACACTGTGACTTGAAGGCAGTGGCTGCAGCTGAAGAAGCAGCAATCTCCATGTCACTGCAGGGATATAACTTCAATACAGTGAGGATGGTTTAGGTTAGGCATCAAAAAGAATAATATTAAAGTTATTTTGTGAGTTATTTTCTATTGTAGATATCCCTATTTTGTTTATTTTTATTTTTAAAGTATGAGTATTACACAAACCCCTATTTTAAGAGTTTTTAAAGTAGAGAGGTGCTGGCAGAGTTTGTGTAGGAATGACAGCACGATCTGGAAATAAATCAGTGATTGAGATTACATGAAAACCTGACCAGCAAGCTGATCCCAGTGTGACCCAGGAGGATGATGTCTGATTCCTCTCCAATCCCTTTTAGCCCTATTTTCCATGACTGTGTGTGCCAGGAATCAGTGTGTAAACTTTGGAAGCTCTGGTGTGCAAGATTTCCCCATCATCACACACTGAACTGAACACTGCTGTGCATCTCCCTTGTTGTTAATCACTAGGTAGGGAAAATTACAGCTGGTACTCAGAACATGCTGCAGCCACCCCTCCATTGTAATGAGGAGACAGATTAGAGGATTTTGGGGCCTGGAGCTGTGTCTTTGTTCTGTGTTTATGCAGCACATTGTGCAATGAGATTCTGGCCTCTAGGTGCTAACACCAAAATGCAAACATATTGATTACCAGGGAATAAAGGCAGGCATGTTCTCCAAGTCATGCTTTGAAGAACTGGGGGAAAACACGTGCGAGATAGAAAAGGATCAGTGGTCCTTACAAAACAGAAATTTGCTTGGGATTGTTTGGGATCAAGCTGATGCACAGAAAATCCTTCAGTCTCTTTCACTGCATTTTTCTCTTCATTTTTGGCCTGAATCTTTACTTAAATGGCATGGGAGTATCAGGAAATCTTGTCCCAAACTTGTTTGTGAGTGTCCTGCCAGTAACACTGCCACTGCAGAAACAATTAGAAAACCAGCAGAGGAGAAATCCTCTGCTCCCCAGAAACTGGAGCAGACATAAGAGCAGTGAGGAATGCTTCACAAAACCAGTTATCAAGTTTGCCCAATGAATCACAAGGATTTGTAGCCTACCTGTGCCACAGAGCATCGTGGTGATTGTCACTGGGAAAAGGAATAGTAGCTCCATATTGATGGAAAGCTCTGGGTGCCACACAGCCCAGAGAACAAATATCCCAAGTGAGAAGAGCTGAGGTGAAACTTCTGCAGAGCACAGAGCTCTGGAGCAGGGAGGCCACCAGGGATTTAAAGCACCTTCTCTTTAAAGGTTAGAAGCATTTGCAAGCTCAAATTGCCTGCAGTGAGAGCAGAGGCTGCTCAGTGCAGCTGGGGAATGAGGGCATTGATACGTTTAAATGTGGATTTAGATGTGTAACTTTATTTATGGGCTCATTTTCACACTCTCGCCACGTTTCTGGATAGATTTGTTGTCTTTACGTGATCCTGCCAACAGCAGCCCAGCCCATATTTGTTACTGTTTGTTACTAATTACTACACAACCTGCTCAGTCTTTCTCCTTAGGTTTTGGCTGAGAGAGAGTTTCAAGGAGACAATATCTAAGATGAATTGAAATCAGATAAGAAAAGGAATGTTTACAAATATCTGTGTGAGATTCCAAGGCAGGATACGTGCGCAGAATTTGACTTCATGAGTACAGACTTTTTTTCAGGGAAAGTTAAATGCTTTCCACCTGCCAAGAGCTGTGTTTGGACCCTCGGGGGTCTGTGTCGCTCCTGCTATAGTTGATAATGTCACTAACACCTAAAGCAGTGTGAGGTATGTAGCTCTAACCTTGCTTTTTATGTATTTGAGATTTCAACAGCCGTGAAAAATTCCGAGCTCAGTAATCTTGAAGTGCATTCCTAGAAGGTAAAAAGCCTTTTGAATTCACCTTTAAAATGCGCTTGCTTTTATTGGCACAGGCTATCCATATATTCAGGGAATGGTTTGGGGTTGCAAACAGGTGGGGTCTTCAGGGATGTGTTTCCTTCTTTTTGAAGTATTTCACTTCACCCTTAATGGAACGTGCTCTCGCACAGAGCCACATCAAGCGTCAGCAGCACTCTTCTGCTGTCCCTCGCTGTCAACAAGAAATCTGTGCTTAGAGAAGGGGGGACACATCAGCCTTTGAAAGTTGAACAGAGGCACAGACTCACAGGGCACAAAACCAAACAATTTGCATCTTGTGGAGGCCCTGGAGTAGTGAAATGTCTTTTTCCACACTTTTTTTCGTTCCTCCCATCAGATTTTCCTCCGCCGCGCCAGCAGAAGTGCAGCTCCAGCAGCGAGTGTGTCTGTGCAGAGTTAGCACTGGCAGGTTTTAACCACTGTGTTTCTCAGATGTGCTGCATGAAGGGGTTGAGGAAAAGCAGTGTTTTTCTGGCAGTGGGTTGTACACGCCATCTCCTCTGATGGTCGCGTTTCAGAAGCAGTAATTGTTCCAGGCTGCCACATGGCATCCAAAGAAAAATGCTCTTGTAGATGCTGCTTCAGACCCGGGTGTTGAGATTCCTGTGAAGCTGTCAGCTCAGGACAGACAGTGGTGTCACTCCTTAGAAAGAAAATACACTGCTAAAGGGACCCATTTTCCTCTGTGATTGTACACGTTCCTGTTTCCCTGAGCGTGTCATCCTGGCAGATCTCTAGGATGTGTTTTCAGCTTTGCTCTCTGTGATCAGTTTGGCCTCACGCTATGGTTTATGCTGTGAAATTCTCAAAATCTTGAGGTTTTTGGTCCCTAACAACACTGCCCTGCACTGAGGGCATCCAGCCAAGCGACAAGTACAGAAGGCAGGGCAATAATTAGACTAGTGCACCCTTGTGACCAAGCTAGGGTTTACTGATGGTCACTGTCACCTCATGTATTCGCCATCCAGCCAAAAAGGAAACAAAAAAACCCACAATAAATAAATAGTTTTAACCGAGCCCTGGGATGAAGGCTATTTTCAATTTTACCTTTCACGTTTTAATTGTATAGCAATAATTTTGCAATAGAGTTGCCGATGGCAAACATGCAAAAGACATTAACTTTATTTATGTTTTGGATTATTAATGTGGCTGTTAAAATTCCTCCAGTTAGTTTTGATTGAATTGTTTTTTTGTGCGATTCTGTCGTTTAATGGAGCGGTAAATAAGAATTTCTGATAATGAGCCCAAGCATCTGTCACAACAACCTGGCGCTGGTTATTAACATTTCCATTAACGGCAGGGTGGGCAGTGATAATATGGAAACCACACAGTTAGAACAAAATAAATAGTTGGTGTCAGGCTGAGTGGGTGTTAATTACTTTTTTATTTTATAACTCTGGGGGGAGGGAGTATTGGTAGAAAAGTGTGACTTATGAAGGTCATTCTCTCTTAAGAAAGAAGTCTCCAGAGGAGCAGCTAACCGGCGCTATCCAGTGCAAGCGGTGAATATTTTATCGCTTCTATTTATGGCCCAGAAAGGGGCAGAGAGAAAAGAGACAACTTTCTCAGGGGGTCTGACAGAAGGCTATGGCACTATGAACACAGAGAAAGGAGAAGTGGAGCCTTTGTCCTGCCTTTCTCTTCCCACTTCTGCAGTTTGACCAGGACACTCTTCAGCACCTTTCCTGTGAACAGAACAGGAGCTGTTTTGTTAAAACCTGCCGGAGGCTCAGACAGCAGGCTGGGAGAACAGAGTGTCCTCAGTAGCTGCTGGGGAGGAAAATCCACCTGCACCAAGTGGGGTCATGACAAAGAGAAGGTGTGGAGTGACCCAAATGCACTCAGAAATTGGTTTTCTAGCACAGCACAATGCAAAGAATAAATGCCATCAGGAGCCAAAGAGTGCCAGTGTGTGCATGTGGAGGTGTAATCAAAGTGGAGCTAATAAAAAGTCATAGTAGCAAACTAAAAGTCATTCTGTCATACATAAAATATTAGTGCATTGATTAGCAGCTGACTGGGTTTGGAGGTAATTTTAGGCAGTATTTTAGCCCAGAGTTTTGCTGCTGAGTGGCATTTGGGCTGATGGTGGCAAGGGCTGCCTTGCTCACCAGGAACAGTTATCAGGAGCACTGTACACTGCCAAAGGTGAGCCCCAAACTACCAGGGAACCAAGGCAAAATTTTCCTTTCTTTTTCAAAGCTGCTGGCAGGATTGAGTTGGTTCAGTGTCTAAGCCAGCCTGCGTGGAACAGAGCACAACCACATCCCGAGGCTCAGCTGCTCCTCACTCCTCTTGTGCCGAGACATCCCGATGACGCAGATACCCCGGGCCTGGCTCATTGCTGACTTGTGGCATAAACAGAGCCTGTCCTGGTCCTCTTGCAAATGAAAAACCTGGCTATGAGCTCATTCTGCTTGTCACTGTTAATTCTTCTGTCCTCCTTCCTCCCTAGCACCGGCGCTGGCCCCACAGAACATCCAAGTCAACTCCCTTTCTGCAAGCCAGCTGGAGCTCACCTGGGACCCCCCTCCTGCCGACAGCCAGAACGGGAACATCCAAGGCTACAAGGCAATTCTCCCATTTCTGCTGTTTTCATTTATCTTGCTTGGCATTGCTATTTACTTGTGAGAGAGCTCTACAAAGTGCAGTCGCCCTCACCACATAAGGCAAATTAGAGCAGTGCTCAGACTGCAGCAGGGAACAGCAGCAAGTCCCAAAACCAAAAGGAAGAGAATGAGATTGGGAGGGGGAAGGAGAGAAAAGGGAGTGTGTGTCATTATTTATGGAGAAGGAGAGCATGGGGGAAACAGGGTATGCAGATAAGGAGGCAGCTCTGCTTATGCAGGCAACGTATCTGCTACAAAAAGCAACACAGCTACACAAGAGCTGGGGGCAAGAAATGTATTGAAGAAAATTAACTGAGCTTTCCCTCCATCAAATGCTGCAAGCCTTTAGGAAGAGCAGAACTTTCTCCCAGCTGGAAGCCTGAGTCAGGTCAGATTTTGGAAGCATTGCTTCGTTTCCTTAACTTTAGCAAAATTAAATCAGAGCATTAATTGCGTTTGGTTTGCAGGAGATGAGCACGTTGCAGAGACACGCTGCTCAGCATCTCCAGCATGAGAATGGACCCTCAGAGAGGGGGAATGGGCAAGTCTACAAACACTGGAGCTTGGCTTGGGTTCAGTGTCTGGCTCTGCCTCTCTCCATGAATTTAGATCCATAAGTGAAGGAAAGCCAAGCCAATGTGAATAATCTGGCATCCCTTCTTGGCACTAACAAGCATCCTTATATATCAATCCCTGTCCTTTCCCTTTTGTACGTATATAGATGGCTTCAGCAGCTTGGCTTGGAGAGCCAAGGTGGAGTCTTGCCTTGGCTTGTTCTCTCAGCTCTCTGGCTTGCTTTGGCCTGTTGCAATGCTCTCGCTGCCAGGCCTGTCCAATAAGTAGGGCTGGCACCAATTTCCTGCTTGGAAACAACTTCTCTGAAGGCTAATTTTATAGCATCAGGGTAAAAATTATATAATGGAAGAAGGGGAGAAAGCACCTCAAGGAACTTTAGGGAGAATCTTTGTTACCCTCTTCAGGAAGGCATTTTCCTGGCTGTGCTGTGAACACCAGTGGTGTGAGTGCTGTGTGTGTGCAGAGGGGAGTTATGGACCATCAGGGTGTGTCAGGATGCCAGTGCTGACAGGCAGCTTGCATTGCAGGGAGTGCTTAAACTGACCTCTCCTCAGTGAACCCTGGCAGCTCATACCTGCTGTCATTAAGCCATATTCTTCAGCCTTTCCTCTATTTTTGAGTGATCTACTCAGCTACGTGGTCATTAGACTCAGGGACTAATTTCCTTAGCAGGGAATTTGCTAAGGAAAAGATTTGGCATGTGCTGAAAAACCTGAGTATCCCAACTAATAGAGGAGTCCAGGGCAAGACTACACTGTCTTTCTGGTTGTTTTGTAGCTGCAGTGGCCAAATATTTTCTAGGTGTAGGATATAGTACAACACATGACAGGATGAAGAAAATGCCTTCCAGTTGTGCCAGGGGAGGTTCTGATTAGATATTAGGAAAAATATCTTCACAGAAAGCTTGGTCAGCACGGGAGCAGGCTGCCCAGCGAGGTGATGGAATCACCAAGCCTCAAAGTGTTCCGAAGGCAAGTGGATGTGGGACTTGGGAACACAGTTTAGTGGCAAACCTGGGGATTGATGGTTGGACTCATGATCTTCGCAGGCTTTTCCAACCTTAACAATGCTGTGATCCTGTCTCGCTGTCCCAACAGATTTATTACTGGGAGAGCGACGCTCTGAACGACACGGAGAAGGTGAAGGTCCTTTTCCTCCCGGAGACCAGCGTGCGGCTCAAGAACCTGACGAGCCACACGCGGTACCTGGTGTGCATCTCCGCCTTCAACGCGGCCGGGGACGGCCCCCGCAGCAGCCCTGCCCAGGGCAGGACGCACCAGGCGGGTACGGGACCGAGTCCTGCTCACCTGGGCACAGCCAGGGCAAATGGGGCACGCAGCAGGGCAGCGCTGCTTGGATTTGTATTGTAGAGGTCTTGAAAGCAGGAAAAAAAAATGTCTCAAACAGGTGGAGTTGAGGAAAGGGAGTGAAACGGCTGAAATGAGAACGGAGTGGCAGAAGGGCCAGTCCCTAAACTAAGCTGGTCCAGAAGGAAACAGTCTGTGGCTTTGTGTGTGGTTTCTGCTGCCACACCTGGAAATCAGAAGGAGTTCATCTCCAGTGCCTGGAAGTTGCCCTGATGGTCCTGTGAAACAATTAGCATGTTTTTTTTAATTCCTCCCTGGTTTTTTGGTTTTTTGGTTTTTTTGTTTTTGTTTTTTTTGTGTTTTTTTTAATTCCTCCCTGTTTTTTGGTTTGTTTGTTTGTTTGTTTTTAAAGCTGTATCAGCAGCCTCCCAGTCAGGCTGAGCAGTCCCTGTGCTGGATGTGCTGGGAGAGCTCTGGCACAGGGTGAAGACAATGCCCTTGGTGGTGGCTGTGAAGAGGAGATGGCTCCCATTGCACCCTTCTGAGAGCCCTTCCCTTCCGTGCCCTCTCTCCTTGTTTGCTCTGGAGGTTCAGTTTTACAGCTGACTGGCTGTATTTTTAGGACAGGCTGTGTTTGTGACTGATTACAGGACATTTGGATACAAGTGAAAAATCCCATTCTCAGCTTGCTTCCTTTAGATTTAGGCTGGGCAAATAAAGCAATGTTTTATAATATATATGTATATTAGATTGACTCCTGCTGCTGCAATTCAATCTGTGTGCAATTCTTTCAGCACCCAGTGCTCCCAGCTTCCTGGCCTTCTCTGAAATCACCTGCACTACCCTCAACGTGTCTTGGGGCGAGCCAACAGCAGCAAATGGAGTCCTGCAGGGTTATCGAGTCGTCTACGAGCCTCTGGCTCCTGTCCAGGGTAAGAAAGACCTCTGATCATACATATTCATGGGGAAATGACACAATGGTGCTATAGGACCTTTCATCTCTGCCCAATTTCTTACTTGCTCTCTGCTGTTTTCCAAGAGAAGCCAGGTGGCAAAGGGTAAATAAAACAATTCCACTTTTGCCAAAATGCTTCAGTGAGCCATAATATTGTGGAATATAGTTTTTGTCTTGTCTTCTCTCATTTTCTTGCACAAACTATAGTCTGTGTGATTTGAAAAGTCATTTTACAGCCATCATTACCTGGTCTGGGCGAAGAGGAAGTTCAGCCTGGGAGTGCCTGATTGTCTCCACACTTTGCCTTTGAAACTGCTGAGTAGGCTCCATCCCAGAATAGTTGTCAGGCACATTTGTGTTGCTTATCACATCATGTGTCACTTCTGTTATCACAGAGATTGCCCAGGCATCAAATGTGCTGGTCATCACTGGCAGCACCTCTGCTGTGACAGGGAGGATAACAGGACAGAGACGTGGCTGTGTCTCTTCACACGGAGTTTTCAGGCAGCATTTTTAACCCAGCACCAGAGTTCAGTTAAGCCACAACAATGTGATGGCCACAAACGTTTCATTAATTTGCCAGAAAAGCAACAGAGAAGGATTTGGCAGTTTCTCTGAAAACAAATGTAAATTCATTCCAAAGGTGAATTAGAAAAGATGACATAGTTTGTGGATGGCTTTATTAATATTTTTATATTCCTGGTAGATTGCCAATAGTTCAATAGGATGTCCAGCTTTGGCAGCATGACAGCAGGGAGAGTAATTTCAGCCATTGCCAATCCATTTTAAACTCTTTTCCAAAGAAATAAGGATATCAATCACTTGTATTTGCTTCTCCTGTAAGGAATAATGATCTATATTGTCTGAATATCCATGTCTCAGGCACAGAGAAGTTAAACTCAGGATTGAAAACACCAGAATAAAAGCATGGTCAGCCTTTATGGCTGGCAGGTCTGAGCAGAAAGAGCTAATACAGGAAGCATTTCCAATTCTGACCAAGAAATGTGGACAGGGTAGGCAGGAGGTTCAGGCTGATCGGGCATTTCCTCCCTTTTCTTCATTCCTTCACAATGTTCAAGAATTCATTTTCCCCCCCTGAAAATATGGAAGTGTCAGATCGTGTTTTCTCTGCATGTATTTGACTTAACATTCTTCAGAACCTTTGTTGTCTTTTCCTGTCTTCCCCACCTCTGCCTGAGCTACCCCTGACTCCAGTTTGTCTCTCCTTCCCCTCTGGAGGATTTCTGATGTGAGCAGGAAGGTTATGGAGGGCTCTTCCTCAGATGCAAAATATTTGCCTAAATTTATTTTCCAGTCTTTACCCACCATTTGCTCTTGTGTCAACATTTTTCTTTCAGCAAACATATTTATTCTCCTGCCATGGAAAATAATCCCTTCCTCGATGCTATCATTTTCACAGATTCACAAATATTCCAAATTGGGAGGGACCCACATGGATCATCAAGTCCAGCTTAAGTAAATGGCCCACATGGGGCCAGAGCCCCCATTCCTCCATGTGAGCACTGCAGTGTACCAACCTGGATGGGCTGGAACCTCTTTTGGAGCTTTTCTCATTCATATTTTGGCTTTCCACCCATCCTTGATTTTTGGCTGAGTGTCTTCCCATGGTGACACCTTTTGCCTTCCCACTCACCAGCCACCACTCACCTGCCCATTTTTCCAAGCTTTCCAGCATCAATCTCTTCTTTAGCACAGTCTTATCCCTGCTTGACCTTTTATTGTTTAAGATTTACACTGTTATGTTTTACACAATAATAGACAACGAGATTGCCCCAGAGCCTTTTTCAACAGTTTTTTGGGGTTTTTTTTGGTTTTTTTTTTTCTTTTTGGAACATAACTTCAAAATGACAAATGCCTCTTGATTTGTCTCAGAGAAATGAAATAGTTCACCTGTGGAAGGAGGGAGCACTTTTACTGTATCCTTGTTAGCCAAGGAAAGATTCCCTGAGTTATAAATTGTATCTGGAAGAAAACTTTGAACAGAAATTGCTTGGACATTACTCTTTATTTAAGTGATTACAACTGAAAGTATAATCTTGATTTGCATAAAATAAGCATCTGGGTTGAAAACATCTTCCTTCTGCATTTCTTGGAAAGATAAACTAGCAAGCAGCCATTTCTAGTGGGAAAAACCTTCTCCTACTTCCTACCTTCTTGGTTTGAAATGTGTCATGTACATACAGACCCAAAAAACCGCCAGAAAGACTCTCTAAATTTGAACTTTTTATTCTGTAAAATCTTTTATAAATCAAATTCTTTCCATTGACTTACTTCTAGAAAACTTCAGTGAAAACCAGAGCTTTTGTTTCCAAACCAATCATTGCCCCTCAGTCCTTTATGCAGCATTGAGAACCTAAAGGTGAAACTTTGGTGAAAGGAGCAACTCTGGTTTTAATTGATCCATGTAAGAAAAATTCTGAGAGAGTGAGAAGAGTGAAACACAAGTCACAGCTCCAGCCTTGTTTAAGCTCACAGCACTTTGGTTGCATCCCCTGTTGCCATGGCATTTGGAGCCCCAGGGTCCTGGTGAGCTGCACATCCTTCACTCTGCATCCACATGGGGATGGTGGATATTGCAGGATGAGATGATGGAACACACCTGACCCTTGTTCCTCCTCCAGACCATGTTGGAGTTTATTTGGGGAAGCAGCAACAGAGAAATGCTTGCCTGGGAAGCAGTCTGGAATGTGCACTCCTCTTCGTTTACCTCCTCCTTTCTTCCCAGAATAATTACTGAGGTTACATGTAGTCTCTTGGTAATTTCCCAGATGTGTTGTAAGGTTTTTTCCTTGTCAGTACCCACTTATCAAGCTTAAACTCTAATTATACTTATCAGTGCTGAAAATTGCCTATTATCACTACTTAAACTCCTGCTAATTGTAAGAAATACTTTCTTAGCAAACTGTTAGATGATTTTACTTACCATCTAGATGTAATAAGCTCCACTTGATTTCTATTTTTGCATTGAAACTCCCTCTTATTTTTTTACCTGTGTGGCTGTTCCAGGGGTGAGCAAGGTGGTGACTGTGGACATTAAGGGGAACTGGCAGCGCTGGCTGAAGGTCCGGGATCTCACCAAGGGCATGACCTATTTATTCCGAGTGCAAGCCCGAACCATCGCCTATGGACCTGAGCTGCAAGCCAACATCACAGCTGGGCCAGCAGAAGGTGAGGGGGGCTATAAAAACAAATCATAAGTCACAGATCACTTCTACAAACACGGGGCACCAGCAGAGAATGGTGCACTCAGGGCTTCACATGAATTTCCAGCTCCAAGGAGAAGCTGAGTCACGGGACGTGATTCAGTGTGTTTCACAACTGCCATGAAAAACATGTTTCCTTTTTTTCCTGAAACCTAGAAGTTTAATGTGAATAAACAAAACACTGTAAATAAATCATAATGCAAACAGGCCAGCCAGGGATTTCCAAGCTGCAGCCTGACAGTGCAGTCCATAATTCTGACTGTACTGCTGTGCAGTGGGAGGCAGGACTGGAGTAGCTGCTGAAACCAGCAGAGATTCCTGGATGCAAAACCAGAAAGAATTTACAATTGTTCTCTCCTGACACGTTGGCTTATGCAGAGGGAGAGATCTGTGGATTTCCTGCTGTGTCAAGAGCAGCTGCAGGGCAGCATTCCTTGCTTGGTTCAGTGCCTGTACCCAGAGCTGGTTTTCTTATTTGATCAGTGACTTTGATAAATAGATAATCCAACGAGGTAGATGCCCTCCAATGATACCAACCTGTCAGGTAAGTCACAGAGCATCAGTGCAGTGGCCACAGCTCTGTTTGTTTGTATCCCACTCCCACAGTGTAACTCTCACACCACACCACAGACCAAGTGTAGATCAGCAATCCTTTCTAACGTGGCCATGGCATCTTCCCAAGCCAATGGGCAGTGCCTGTCCTCATGAATCTCTTCATGAACCTCACAGGTAGGTTTCACCTCTGAAATGAGAAATAGCAGCAGCAATGGATAAAATGAGAGTCCTTTTTCTCTTGTCTTCTTAACACAGAAGGTGTAACCCTCCCTTATTCTTGGGGTTATCCCCTGTAGGGCCATGAGTTGGACTTTGATGATCCTAGTGGGTCCCTTCAACTCAGGATATTCTATGATCCTATGACCTGTAAATCCCATTGATATATAACTGCTGGTACTGGAGCTTGTGAAAAAATCAGGTCAGTAGCCCATAGAGCTGGTTTATGTTGCATATTTGTTGACCAACACCACAAGATAATTTTTCCCCTCTCTCAGCAGAAGCAATTCATGCTGCAGTTTAATGCCACCTTCATTTGCTACTCTCCTTTCCTCCTTCAGGGTCCCCTGGCTCCCCTCAGGAAATCCTGGTGACAAAATCTGCTTCTGGGCTGACGCTGCAATGGACTGAGGGAGATTCAGGAGAAAAACCCACAACTGGCTACATTATAGAGGCACGACCCTCAGGTAAGCCCCAGGAAATGCAGGGGTTTGATGTCATCATTTCCCTTCCTTCAGCCCCTGCTGAAGTGGAGAGGTTGTTTGTCATCCCAGTAAGGTAATGGGATTTTGTGAGAGAACGTGTTTCCAGTAATATTAAGATATTACTGGTTTATTATGTAGTTTAGCACATTTTCTCCTCTTTAGGAGCAGTCACAGAAAATTACCCCGACTACTCTGGCTTTCAATGTGCTACATCACTGGAAAATCATCCAACAGATGAACTAATATAGTTAATAATTAAAACTCATTTAAATGCTTACAGCATCTTTCAGGAGCAAGAACTAATAAGTATTTGCGAGCTGTATTTTGAGGACCACAGATAGAAATCTGTCTCCTTCTGCAGCAGAGCACAGCAGCTAATTACTGTTTTAATGTTAATAATAGGGCCATGGCTTCAGCAGCACACACACATTTCTTCCCCCATTTGTTCTGCAGGGAGATCATTGAGGCGGGGGGAAGGAATCCCCCATCACCACAGCTTTTCTTGGTGCTTTCCCAGAGCTCCTTTGCTTCTGGGATTTGCAACTTAGTAAAGCTCTTCTCTGCTTTTTTCCAGAATATTCCCCCACTTGGACAAGGTAATTTTAAAAGTCAGTGTGTGCTCTGGCCTGATCGCAGCTTGGTATCCCTTGGAAATTCAAAAAGCACAGATTTCCTGGGAACTAAGTCATTAAGGAAAGCCAGCGAGTGCTGCCAGGCATCTGTGTAATCTCCCTTGATAACTTCCTTCCACTCTGACAGGGGATGTTGATAACCACGCTCTGGGTACAGTTTTCCAGCTGGTGATACCTCCACCTGCTCCTTGTTCCACACAGGCTGTGTTTGATGTCACCAAGTCAGAAGCTTTGCTGAAGTCAGGATATATGATGTCTGCTCTTTCTCCTCTATTGACAAGGTCTGCTACTCTGTCACAGAAGGAAATTAGACATGATCTATACTTGACATAAGCATCTTGGCTGCTTGTTCTTTCTTTTTCACTTCTAGGTGCTTGCACATTGCTTGATTATATATTGATTAAATGAATGCTTATCTGTTTGATTATATAGAAGCTTGTTTGTGTCTTGAATGTCAGGTTGCATTTAAAACCAATGATTTTAATTACATTTAACCAGACCAGTAAGAAAATTATTGAGGTCATCTCTGAAGATGTAGATTTCCATACCTGCATCTGATAGAATTTGCTCTGTAGTGAGGCTCTGCTCTGATCCTAAAAATTATTTCTTATTTCTGTCATTTAACTTGACAATTGCTTTCAAAATAAAAGCAAGGGAAATACATACCTTCTCAAAGCACTGGGGTTTCCCAGAATGATCAAGTTTGCTTTCAATTAGAGCCATGACACTGCTGTGCTTCTACTTCACCTTCATCAGCTTTTTGAGTTCTGTCCTTATTTCTTCAGAGGTAGAAAATATTTTCTTATTTGAACAGCATTGTTAGGTAGCAAGTTCAACCAAACCTGTTCATTTAAAATCACTTGCCAGCTTACATTTCCCCCAGACAGTGAGTCAGAGTATTTTAGGGGGAAACCTGCAGCCCGTGTACAGATTATCTGCAAGCTTGGAAATCCAGCTCGTGCAAGTGGTGACATTGGAAACTCATCCACTCAACTCCTCCTTGGATGTGAACCAACATTTCACAGCTCATGGCCAAGGATGCAGGATTTGGGGCCCACTCCTTTTGAGTAGGAAGAAAATAGTCCCTCCAAGGCAGGTCTGAGCTGCATTAACCCTGGGTCACTTCTGCTGGCCCCACTCCACTGATCCTGGAAGCGCACACAAGAGGTCTTATTCTCCCGCTCTTGCAACCTGACTGTTGAGTCATTTAATTCCTCTTCAGATTATTTTAATCCTATTCATGCTGCTGTAGCAAATGAACTAGGCATTTGTATGCTGGATTCTCATCCTTCGTTCTGGTTGCAGCTGTAGGAAGCGTGAAATGTGATCCAGGAGAGGAGACAGACTAATTGGAAGATTTGCTTATTCCACCCAACCGGCGGCTTCCTCTCTGTGCTGCTTTTCTTCCTCATCTCTGCACGGAAGAGTCTGAAATCTGAATTACGAGCTTAACAAAAGCAAGGAACTAATTCTTCCTCTCAGGGCTGGTCATTCAGAGCAGCTCCTGTTTTCATATCATTCTAAGAATTTGCTTTTGCATGTTGATTTATACAGGCAGTAGAATGTGGATTGGAGCAACCTTTGTTTTTAAGGAGGAGTTGTTCCAAGAGAAGAGCAGTTGACTTGTGCTCTTCACATAAAATCAAGAAAGGAAAAGATATTTATCCTTCTGAGGTCAAAAAAGGGGGCGTTGAGCAGACAGATGAAAAGCTTTAGCTTGTTGCCAATATTTAAATGCAATACCACTACCTTAGTGTTTCGCATCTCAAGTGTCATCTGTTATAGGCCTCATTACCCCAAACGTTAAATGCTGTATCATCTCATTTTCCCTGCTGTAGCTCCCTGCCAAGACTCTTCCATCAGAGTAGGAGGATGGCTTTCTGTCAGAAATGGCAAGCCCTACTCCCTTTTGTCACTTCCCTTTGAATTTTTCGGAGCCCTGCTGGGTCTCCCAGGGCTCCTCTGCCCTGCTGGGTTCAGCAATGGTGGCAGCAGGCAGCTGAGACTGCTCATTTGATTTCCCTGTTTCTCTGCTGGCTTTATGGAAGGTGACCAGGCTCAGTACCTCCTCTGCATTTTGAGTACACTCACACACAGGGATGAAGCAGGCAAACCAATATTTTTTTCCAGAGTGATCTGTGCTAGAGGAAGACATTACAGAAACAGAAGAGTTTTTCTTTTCCTTCAACTTCTCTGTCCTTGGAGAAATGGATTCCAGTTCAGCTCCTTGTGCATTACAAAAAATGCAATTAAGCAGGTTCTGTCTCTGCCACTGTAAGTGCTCCCCAGACATCAGCTGGGCTGGCTGAGGAATGGAGAATAGATTGTGCCCTCAGCTTTTACATACAGAGCAAAAGACGAATGGCACAGCGATGTTAAGGTTCCCAGTGCTGCTGGGAGGAATGGAGAAGCTGGCTTCACCCCTTTTTTCACAGCTCCAAAGGTTCCCTTTTCCCACCCAAAGGTTCCTCTCACTGTGCTTTAGTGGTGGGCACGTGACCTGTGCATTCCCAGCAGCCTCACCCACAGCTCCCAGTAACCCCCATCTGCAAGGGAGGTGTTTGTGAAACACCCTGGGGATCCACAGACCAGGAGTGCCCCTGGATGTGGAGCTGCCCCATGAGACCTCCATCCACCGATCAGCCTGTGCAGAGCAGCTGTGCAGGTGTTGGGTCAATCTGCCCCACAGAATCATTTAGATTGGAAAAAACCCTTAATGCCATCAAGTCCGACCTTAAACCAAACTCTGCCACGTCCACCACTCAACCATGTCCATAAGTGACACATCTTCCTGGCTTCTGTCACCTCAGAAAGCGCCTCCCTGACCCAGGACAAACAGAGGGAGATTTCATTTTCTGCTTCCTCTCCCCACCACAATGTTGGACTTTATGTGCTTTTGCCAAGCAGGGGATGATGTCAGGCAACTGGAAGAGAATTGCACTTAAATGGAATGGTCTGGATAGGAAGGCACCTTAAAGATCAGCCAGTTCCATCCCTCTGCCATGGGCAGGGACGCTTGCTATTAGACCTGGTGGCTCCAAGCCCCATCCGACCTGGCCTTGGACACATTCAGAGGATGGGACAGCCACAGCTGCTCTGGACAGCCTGTACCAGGGCCTTACCACCCTCACAGGCAGGAATTTCTCCCTGATATCCCATCCATCCCTGCTCTCTGGCAGTTTGAAGCCATTCCCCCTTGTCCTGTCACTCCATGCCCTTGTAAAAAGTCCCTCTCCAGCTTTCAAGATGATGAGTCCCATGAAAGAGACATTTAGACTCCATCTACTTGGAGTGGGAATTGTCTACCTCATAAATGCTGGGTTCTGCTTCCCACGCCCTGAGGGCAGCTCTCACTTTACTTTCCTTTCTGGTGTCTTGAGTAGTGTTTTTCTGTTTTCTTCCTTTTCTATTTATTTTTAACCAAATGAGGGAGCGCAGTGTCAAACATGGACACGAACCAGCAGAAGTCAGTAAATTCAAAGTGAAGGGTGCAGCTGCATCCCCGGCATCTGCCATGGGGCCTTTTTCACTTCTGCTGGCGAGCGACACACCGGGGCTGACAGTTTGTCAGCCTTCACTTCCCATTCTTGTCCTTCCACTGCTTTGCATGATAATCCAGCCCTTTGCCTCTGACAAGCACAGCCACGTTTTAATTGTGTCCTCTGTAGGAGGAACACCAGTGGCTTTCAGCCGGGCCTTAACTCTCAGCAGCTTCTCCTGTCATAAACCTTCTAATGTGTAATTAGGAGGGAACTTTATGGCCCAGCTCTCCTGCTCTGAGAGGGGATGGCTGGTGTTTAAAACCCAAATAACTGACAGCTCTCCGTGTCCTGGGTTGTCAGTGGCTGGATTTAGTGGAGCTGGGAGCCTCCCTGGCTGAGTGACAGCTTTATTTAGCGTGGAGACCCTGATTAATGGCCTGTGACGCCAGGCTGGCCCACGGGAGCAGAGCAGCTCCTCTCCAACGTGGGTTGGACACGGTGTTAGGGCAGAGGTGGCTTCACCTTCCCCTGTCACTCAGATCCCCTCCCTGTGCCTGAACCTCAAGCTCAGATGGGACAGAGGCATTGAGGCTGGGAGGTGAAGAGCAAATCTCCCATCAGCAGGAGTTAGGATGGAGCAGGGCTGGGGAAAACAAGGAGCAAAGAAAAATTTTTCTCTTTTGAGGAGCACTTGCTTTTCCATCACACGTTTAAGAGGCTGAGTGCCCAGTGAAAGGCCGTGGGGAGTGGAGATGGGGGACTGATGTGACTGAAAAGAAAAAGCAAAGGCAGCCTCCCTGGGGATGTCCCTCTGAGCCCTGCACCTGAGCCCTGTTTAGCATTGCAAACTTGCTCTTCCCAGTGGTTTCTAAGAGTTAATACCCAGCTGATGTCCCAGCCATGGCATGTGCACCTTTCATCCCTAAACTGAGCAGAAAATGCTGTGTGTGGTACACTAATGATTTTCCACTGAACTGAAAGGCCAGTCTTGGCTGTCACAGGTGACCTTCTAATGAATTCTCTTTCAGCTGAACTTCTAACATTTAGAGCATACCTGGTTTTGAGGTTCTGAGGATAGGGGGAGAGGTGCACTGAAGGAATTCACAAGTGTGTGTTCAATATTTAATCTCAAAGTTGCCTACTGGAATAAAGTGATTTTTTTAGTTTGGATATATCTGATTGTGATCATTGTTTACAAAGAGGAGTCTGGATGTTCCAGATGGATATAAGATAAAATAATTGAGGCTCTGGAATTAAAAATCTTGCTGGTCAGGCCTTAGGAAGCCACAGGCTGTGCTGTGGGGAAGATGTAGGACATCTGTCCACTGTAGCTGCATCAGCACCTCTCTGGGAGGGAAGCCACAGGCTGTACTGTGCTTAGGGGTCAGCAGTGGGGAAGATGTAGGACATCTGTCCACTGTAGCTGCATCAGCACCTCTCTGGGACCCCAGGGATAATGAGCTGGGTCCATTTTAGAATAATTAAGGTTGGAAAAGACCTTCAGGATCATCGAGTCCAACAATTAACTCAGCACTGACAGACCTACCCCAGGGAAAAAAACCAAAGTTTTGACAAAGATTCTTTCAGTGAATGAAAGGGAGATGGGCCTGTGTGGCCACCTGCCAGAGCATCTCTGAGTCCCTGTGAGACAGAAATACCTCTGAAGAAACGTTCACCAGCATCTTTTGCTGCCCCACACCATCACCACCATAGCCAAGGGGACAGAGAGAAGGAAATGCAACGCTGACCTCTCAGGGGTGGTTTTCCCAACTTACTGCAAGCTCCACAAAGCAGTTAAATTTATGCTTCTTGGTCTGTTGGGTTTTCTGCACTGTGCACCCTGATAGGTTTGAGAAAATGAGTGAGAAAGTATGTGTCTGAGCAGTTGTGTTTGTTGTAATGAGTGCTGAACATTCACTTTTATTGTTGCTTTTTCTTCCCCTATTTAAGTGGCTTTGAATGCAAACAAATTGCTTTTCAGACAATTCACAATGGGCTCAAATTCTCTTATTGCTGTTTACAAATGTGTTTATGAAAGCTTAGGCAATTCTAGCAAATATGGCAATATTTTATAGGCATGAGATGCATCTTCTGAGTATTGGTGGCTGCAACAATCCAACTTTGAAAATGCATCCCTCACTCCACCCTCTTCAGAGAAACTAAATCCCAAACTCCTGTTTTTATTACATTGTAACTTTATGTGGTAAAATAATCTCAGCTTCTATTGCCCTGTAAAAGGGAAGTCAATATTTTATCTCTTGTTTTACAGCCATTGTAATACCCAGCTAATACATAACAATGGTACATTATGATAACTTCATTATAGTCTGACCATGCTGGTGAATAATGTATCGGTCCGAGTTTTAAGCATGGCAGGAAAATTACCTATTTTTATTGTTCTTTGGTGTTTCTCAAATGCAGCTGGAACAATAACAATCCAGCCTGCTTTTTGCATCTGCTGAGACTGCCAATCCTCCTGACCAGAAAAGCTGTAGTTTGGGGCTGTTACTCATTGTGTGTGTCACCAGACGTGCAGCGTGGTGCAGATCACTGAGCCAATATTTACTGGTGCCAAAGCTAAAACATTCACATGGAAATGCACCTGCAGTGTTAATCAATCCATCTTTGCTGCTATTCCCTGTGGCACAGGAGCAGGCTGAGGGCCAGATCTTGCTCTGTTACCCCAGCACAGTTCTGGAATCGCTGCAGTGGCTCCAATTAGGTTACACTCAGGTAAAGGCAAAGCAAATGAGAACAGATTCCTGCCTCACTCTGCAGCAGCAGAACGAGTCACTGAGGGTAACACTGCTGGCTCCTGCTTTATTGTTACCTTGCTAACACCTGGAGCTACAGAAGACCTGCTGCCGTTGAGCCGCGCAGTGCAGACGACTCTTTCAAAGCAGGCAGCTCCCACGCTGAAGTCGTGTCTGTGGAGAGGTTATCATCCTATTCCCACTGCTGTGGGACATGGAGAGAAAAATAGATATTGTTGGAACAGCTTTGATAGCTAAAAGCCCAATGGGATGCTTGTGAGGTCAGGTCTGTGAGAGCTGAGGGTTTGGCCCCATGTGTAGACAGAGATTCCATTTTCTCAGCAGAAATGCTAGGCACCAATTTTTACTGGGAAGCTAATCAGTCAGATTTATGTTTGATTCCTACCCTCACAATTTTTGAGTGGTCTTTTTAATTATAGTTGGTTTTGTTGCTCCTGGTACCAGCATCCGTCTCATTGAAAGTTCATTCCATTGTAGTCAAGTGAATGTGAGGTTACAGGTGTGGATCAGGGATGGGAATGGTGCCTGGTCAGGATATGAGTCAGGATTAATGCCATTATGGCTGTGGAGAGCCAAGATGAAATGCTTCTGAAATGCTCCCATCAGAATGGCATTGTGCTTCTAGCCACTTCAACAGCTTTATAAAAATAAACAAAACTCATTTCTGTTTAAAACTGCAGAGCACAAAGTGCAGCACAGTCTTTGTGCCATGCAAAGAGCTACTCACTGTTGCTATCATGGAGCAAGCAGCACTCCAGTGACACCAGTCCCCTGGCACCACAGAACCTCCCAGGACTGGTATTAGTCTAAGCCTCACTTGAGTGCTTCAACAACAAAGCAAATTTTGCAGTGTAAAAGGCAAGCAAAACCTTTGTGATTAGGACTCATTAATGTTGCCTTGGGTTTACGTGATCTGTCAAATGACAGATTGCTGATGGGTGACCTTACCCAGTCAGGAGGGAGTGGCAGCTGCTCCAGCCAGCTCAGGTCTCTGTGGGTGCTGCTGCTGATTTCACAGACCTCTTCCATCTGGGCTATGGAAAGCTCCCATCCTGAATGAATGCATTCACAGATGGGGCGTTCAGGGCATTCTGACATTTGTGTGTACCACAGGGCAGCCTCCCTGTGTGTCCCTGCCTGTGGCTCCAGCACACCATTGGTGACAACCTCTCTCACTGAGCAGGTGGAAGTGCCAAGGCACAGAGCTGATGCCATTTCTCTCCTTGCTGCTCTCCTAGATGAAGGACTCTGGGATATGTTCGTGAAGGACATCCCTCGCAGTGCCACCTCCTACACAGTGGGCCTGGACAAACTCAGACAAGGAGTCACCTATGAATTTCGGGTGGTCGCTGTCAACGAGTTTGGCTATGGAGAGCCAAGTGTTCCTTCTGTGGCAGTATCAGGTAATCATGGATTTTTTTTTTTAAGTCTTTTTAAATGGAATTTCCTGAGGCTGAGGGAGAAGAGGGGCAAAAGGAACAAACCAGACTCTCTTGTTGCAGCAAATAATCAAGGGCAGCTTGTTTTCACTTATTTTAGGATAAAACTGGAGTAATGCAGTGGTGAATTAAGGTTTGAAATTACAGTGTGTTTGATTCTCAAGAGGAAAAATGTGCATGTGCCATTTTTAAGCTTGATAAAGAACCAAGAACCTACTCAGAGTGTTTATGTCAGATCTCTTGTCATAAGACTAATTTGTAGAGTCTGCAATTTGTTTGATTTTTTTTTTTTTTTTTTTACCCTGGACTCTGATAAACATTTTCTGTGTTATTTTGTCTTTAGCTCTCACAAATACAGAAGTGCAGTTTCATATTATTCGTGACAATCCTCTGTGCTGGCAGTCTTGTTCCAGTGTGATGCCTCCAGTCCCCCTCCACCAGAACAGCTCATCTGTGATGCTCTGGGGCTCTTCCCACTCTCCCTGCTCTCTGTGTTACTCCCAGTAACAGGGCTATGACCTAAATGTGCTTCCCAAACCCCTGTGAGCAGCCCAGCCCTCTGGTTTTCTGAAGGGGTTTGAATACCTTGAAAATCAAATTCCTCTCAGCTTGCCTGGGCTGGGCAGCTGGAGTGCCTTGGCCTGTGGTGAGGTGAGAGACCTTGCCCTTGGGAAGGCTTTGCTGGGTCTCCTCTTCCCCCACTCTACTCAGGTTGCTTTTGAGCCATAGGTTTCATCCTTGCTGTGTCAGCAAAGACAAGGGGAATAAAAGAACCTGATAAAGCGGCTTTGTGATTCAAAATTGTGGAGAGTCCTGGGAACCTGGCAGAGCTCCAGTATCTGGAGTGGCTTTTATCTCTTTGCTGCTCCAGTGAAAGGCATGAACACCATTCAGCAACTCCCCAGCAGGCAGGAGAAGCAAGTGCTGCTCTCGCCATCACGGCTGCTGCGCTTGTCCTGACACAATTAACCACTTACCCCGGGAGAGCTTCCATGGATTTCACTGTGAGTGCTACCCCTGCTTTTCTTCTTCAGGGCAAGGGCATGGACAACCCACTTCAAACACCAAAAGTCAGTGTTTTTCCTGTCTGGGGTTTCAGAAAGGCTGTAACACAGTGTAAAGGACCAGCAATCATGTCAGTCTTTCCTTTGCTCGAAGACATTATTCCTCTGAAGCAGGGCATGCATCTCCTTGTGATGCTTTCTATAAATAAACTGCTTGTTTGTAAGTTCTCCACTTGAACAGCACTATTTAATTCGCCTCCTTTTGATGCTTCAGTATTCCTCTCAAATTGCTGCATGAAAGTAAGAGGCTTCCATTGAGATTCACAGTCATAAAAGTATAAAGCATTTTAGGCTGGCCACTTCAGCTGGCACAGGGAGGTATAAATTGCCCTGAATCTGCTCATCCCAGCATGGCTTGTGTAGTTTGTCTCTAGACCTGGACTGGCCTCCTAGAAAAGGAGTGTGGCTGTTTTTCCCTGCTGCAGAATACCCAGTGATCTGGAACAAATTTGAGCTCGTATCGTTGGGCTTAAAACAGACTTTTATTCAGACTTTTATTCTGATCCAGGCTTGGGACAGTCAGGGAAAGAGGGTTTGGTGACAGTGAAGGGTTGGGTTGTTCTCCTGGCATCTCCCATTCCTGCCAGGTGGTGTTCCACCTTAAGGACTACAGGGAAATTATGTCAACTGCTGGCTCGTGCTCAGAAGCTGCACTTTTCCCCAAAGCTGAGGGAGCTCAAGGGAGGACAAAGAGAATATCACTGCAAGAAAACAACAATAGTTATTACTTTAAACCAAGACTGGCGAGGTGACTCTGGAAAGGGGAAGTTAGTGTCATTTTGTGTTTCCACTTGAGGTCAGATGAGGTGAAATGACCTGAGACTGCACAAAACCCAGGCAATTGAATTGATATCCCTGTGCTGCACATCAGGCTTGGCTCAGTGGATGGAGAAGTGATATAGAGTAGCAGTGAATGTTGGAAGTTGGAGTTAATGGAGGTACTGAAAGACTCTGAACCAAGTGTGCTTTGTTCCCTGGCACTAGCTGTATTTTTCAAAGAGCCACTGAACAGCATTTTGGCAAGGTAAGCCTCCCCAAAAGTGGAATAATCGTGGGTCATGGCACATGTATTAGTGGTTTCCTTGACCCAGGAGTGCCAAGCCTGCCGTGTCAATAAATGTAGGTGTGCAGAGCTGCCTCTCTTCTCCTGGTGATAACTTCTTAGCTAAGGGCTTCTGGAGCTGCTCCAGGGGTATGAAAGGTGCTTGTAGAGATGGAACTGGTTGTAGAGAAGCTGTGGCTGCCCCTGGATCCCTGGAAGTGTCCAAGGCCAGGCTGGACAGGGATTGGAGCAATGTGGGATAGTGGAAGGGTGTCCCTGCCATGGCAGGGGGTGGCACTGGATGAGCTTTAAGGTCCCTTCCAACCCAAACCATCCTGGGATTCTGGCTTGGAGCTGTGAAATGCTCCTGTTCTCTGCCATCTTAGAAGGATCAGCAAGGCCCTCCAGAGTCTGAACCCCCCCCTCTCCTGAGCACCAATCATCATTCCCTATGGGGATCAAGAGAAAATTTTAAAGGGGCATAAAGAGGAACTGTTATTTGTTTTTTGCTCTTTCAGCACAAACAGAAGCCCCTTTCTATGAGGAGTGGTGGTTTCTGCTGGTGATGGCTCTCTCAAGCCTCATCCTCATCCTGCTGGTGGTGTTTGCATTGGTCCTGCATGGCCAGAGCAAGAAGTACAAGAACTGCAATGGAGGTAAGGCGTCATCTCTGTGCTGTGCAAAAATCTCAAAAGCTGTGGGAATCAGCGATGCCTTTCCTTTGAACCTCTGATTTCCTCAGCAGGGACTGTGTTTAGAGCTATTTTGCTTGGCAGAAGACTTGGAACTTTTTGCTGTCTGCTTTGGTAGAAATGGCTTTTGCCCCTAGCCACACTGGATCAGCGTTTGGACACTGACCAGCCATGGGTTCAGACAGGACAGACTCTGGAAGTCCCAGGGACTGCAGTAAAAGCCAAGGAGTCTGAGTCAAACATTTGGCAGATAAGGAATAAATAAGAAATTAACTGAGACTTTATCATAATTCCCTGATAGACAGGGAGAAGGAGAAAAATTCGGCTTTTCCATGGCTGTACCAATGTGGATATTCTAAATCTCTGTGTGTGAGGTCTAAATCACAATTCCTTTGTACTGAGTGCCTGCATCTCACATTCCTTTCCTAAGTCAAGCTGCAGTTGCTGGGCTGGGGACCAAGCAGCCAGGAGGTGTCTTGGTTATCTGGACCTGTTAGATTTTAATCTATAGTGAGCATCAAGCTTTGAATTTTCCTTTAGTGGTGATTTTTGCCAGTCTCCTTTCTTGAAAGTAAACAGGAGCTACCTGCTCTGTAACTTGGAATGTCAAATAGTCCCCTTTGAAAAAGCTCGTCCTTGAGCTCTGAATATTGTTTTTACCTTTTCTTCTCCATACATGATAAAGTCCTGGGAGGGTTGTTCACATGTGTATTTCTCTGATAGCCTCCTCCACCTGCAGCAGGAAATTTCTCTGATGCCAGGAGGTGCCAGAAAAGGTATATTCATGAAAAAGATCAGGTGGATGGGTCTCTGCACTATCTGTTCTTAGGGATTAATGTAATGAAGTCTTCCAGGCAATATTTAGTAATTCAGTCCCAAAGTGAAGATCTTCTCTTTCTTTGTAATTCACTTCTAACAAGTGTTAGAAATCAGATTTCATTCCCAGGAGATAGAAGATGTATGAGTACCGTGGCATTTTACCAAGTTAATACTATTACATATTTGTATGCACAGCTCATAGGAAATCTCTCATCTTCTTAGTTTTACTGTGTTTGGGGGACAGACATGAAAAGGCAGGTCTGACCTGTGCTGTCAGATATCCGTGTTCACAGAGCCTTAATGCAGCACTGAAATTGAAGCTGAGGATAAAGCACCTGTCTGCTGCAAAGTGGCAGCCAGCCCTTCTCCCTGGGACACAGGCTCAGCTCACACCTTTGGGATGGCAAAGGATGAGCACAGGAGAGAACAAGCTCCTGCTAGATTTGATCACCAGAAATAATATACTGGGCTTTATTTTCCTTCTTCTTCCCATGCCATCCTTGTTCCTGCCTCACATTGTCTGGTGATTTCTCCATACCTGATCTCCATTTCAGCTGTGGCATGGTTTTCCCATTTGCTATCCACTTGCCCTTCCTCTTGCTTTTTTTCCTTTTTTTCCTCTCCCCTTTTCCTCTTTTTCTACCTTTTCTAGTTGTACTTTCTCTTGCTTTACTCCAGTCAGCATAGAATGGGATTCACAGCACCTGATTTAGGACATCTTCAGTAGCCACCTAAATTAGTTATCAGGTTTCTATTTACAGTCAAAAATCAAGAATAAACACTTTTGAAGCACAGTTTATCTGTGCTGTTTTAGATCCTTGCTTCTGAATGAAATCCATCCATCCATCCATCCATGACTCCTTTCTACTCTTTTGACTTCCTCTGCCCCTTCACATTCCTGACACACTCCTTGCCTTCACTCTGTTCTCACTTGCAAGGAGAAAAAGTGAATTTCAAATAATTAATGATGTCATAAAACAGAAAGAAGGACAAGGACTTCTGCAGTTCTATTTGGGGGAAAAGTGCTTTTGTTTCAGCTGAACCTTTCATTTCCTGGCTCCAGGTAAAACCATCTCCAACGTGGAAGAGTCAGTCACCCTGGACAATGGGGGCTTCACTGCTCTGGAGCTCAACAGCAGACACCTGAATATCAAGAGCACCTTCTCAAAGAAGAATGGAACCAGGTAAAAAGCTGGGAATGCTGTGCTTTTGGAATGTCTTTTTTTCTAGCTCCAAGCATTGTTAAAGAGGCAAAAGGGAGAGACTGAAGAATCCAGGAAGGACTTAAACACCCTAGTCTCTGCCTCAAGCTGTGATTCTGGCTTCTAAGCAGGATTTCATTAATTCCAGGGGAATAACAACATCCCAGATATTAATCCTTTGCATTTCCTAGGTCTCCTCCTCGGCCAAGCCCAGGGGGGCTGCACTACTCTGATGAGGACATCTGCAACAAGTACAACGGGGCTGTGCTGACCGAGGGCTTGGGCCTCAATGAGAAACCCCTGGAAGTGTCAGAGTCAGAGGTAAGGATTTCCCTCTGCCTCACATTGCACAGACACTGCAGATAATCACTTCCATGCTGAATCCTGGCAAGTCTTTGAAGTCCCAGTCCCATACCTGCATCATGCTGTGTGGTCACTGTTTGTCTGTCTCAGGCATTTTAAAAGGTTCAATTCACAAGGCTGTTTGCATCACATCTTAAAATAAAATATCAAAGGAAAGAATGACAAGCAGGACCCAGCCAGGGCAGATTCCAGACCTGGCCTTGGCAGATATTCAGTTTTCCAGAGTCAGGTAGAAAGATAAGTGCAACCAGTCAGACAGTGTGTGCTGTCCTCTCTGGAAGGATCTGCACACCTCCTTGTGCCTGTGGGCTGCAAACTTGGAGCACTTTTAGGAAAACACACATGTGCTGCAAAATAACCAGCTACTGTCTTCTGGACGAGGTTAAAGGTGAGATGTGCTTTGGACTGTTGCACTGACTGGAGTGTGGAATGCGATTTGCAGTTTCACAGCTACAGCAAACCCCACCAGTCAGAGGACTGGCCTGAGTGGTGACAGAGGGGAGTAGGTGGGGAGTGAGTAACCTGCCAGGGAGCCACATGGTCATGGCTGTGAGGGCCCAGCATTCAGCTCTCTGAACACCCCAGCCTTGCCTGTAGACTGTTCTCCACAGAAGGTGGGTGTTTGCCAGCATCATCCATCTGGCAGGGCTCCATCTTGTGTTCCACATTCCCTGTAAGAAGGAAAAAAGTGCTTGCTGTCTGTGAAAGTCCAGCAGTGGCCATGGGTGAATAGACAGACTTCAAAGGAGATCCAGAAAGGTAAATCTGTCTCTAAAATCAGACGCTGTCAGCTGAGATCCTGATGAATCCGAACTGACAGCGCAAGAAGCGAGCAGTGGGCCAAACCATGCCAAACCTGACCCTTCCAGCAAGAAAAAATCACGGGCAGCAAGTCGTGAAAGAAGATGACAGTTTTCATCTGTAGCTTTTCTGCACCTGCAGCTACAGCTGCTTTTCCTGGCTACCTAGCTCTCACCTCCTGCTAATTACCACCGACAGCCTGCTGCTTTGTGCTGCCCTGTGGCCGACCCGTCGTGCAGGCAGCTTTCCTTGGTGCAGCTCAAGCTGCTGTCTCTGCAATGCTCCGACATTACCCTCCAGATTAAACCCACAGTGCTTTGGTCGTGTCACTGTAACAACCCAGCATTAAACCTGTCATTAAAGCAGTTTGCTGAGCATGATCGTGAATTTAGCACTGGCACCTTTTGACATTAATTTCAATGTCCCGTGTGGTATTTCCTGGTGATGTGCAGAAGTCTCCTTGCAGGGTGTCATTATGCCTCCTATATGCACTGTTTGTACAGCAGAGAATGAAGTGATTTTGGTGGTTTTTTTTCTCAGGGTATTGATATTGTTTATTTACTGTTGTATTGCTGTTGAGCCTGAAGGTCTCAGTTGAGATTCTGCTGCTTTTGTGAACTGGGTGTGCACGTGAGTATGTGCATAAAATATGCCCCTGTTTTTCCTTGGGGCTTGGAGATGCAGCCCGCCTGTATGTCTTTGATGCTTGTTTGGGGTTTTTGTAGTGGGGAGTGCTTTTAGTCATGAAATGTTAATATGCTCCCAGTAGAGGTAGCAGTAGGAGATGCTGCCTTTTGATCAGCCTGAAAATGCTGTTTATGTTGGCAGGTGCAGACAGGAGGTGAGGGTGGGCTGGTGCAGAGGTGGGCATAGGTGACTGACCACTCTCTTTTCAAGTATTCCTGTACCTATTAGCTCTTCCTGTTTGTCTTTTATTTTCTTTTAGTTTCTGTTCTCAAAGGAGATCATAATAGACAAGCTCTGTTTTCTGAGAGTTTCGGATTTTCCATCTTAGCAGACAGAAACATTTGCCAGAAGAGTTAAAGACATCTTTTCATGGGAGAGTTCTACACAGGTTTAGTCCTCTGCAGCAGAGGGTCCTGATGCTGTTTCCTCTAATACATCTGTGTGTGGGTTTCAAATTACACTTAATATGATGCACATCAGGGCAGGCAGGGACAAAAACTGTGCCTTTGCCTTCAATCCACATGTCACTGTGTTACTGCTTAGTCTTATGCCTGTTGCCTGAGGTGTCAAGATTTTACATGGAAAAGAAGGAAGCTCACTGGCTTCAAGTCTCCTGAGGTTTACTGAACATGAAGAACTCTTGGGCTGACTGACTGCACTTAAAACTCAGCTGCCTGGGAGCATTCTTCCAAGCTTGCTCCTGGAGGGGAGAGACACACAGAAACAAAGAGGAAATCAAATAAGACTCTTAATATTCATAAATCAAGTGGTAAACTTACTCCATGTCATGAAAGCCAAGCACCAGTACTATTAATGAGGTTAAAGAAGTTTAATTGGCAGGTACAGAGCAGGAGACTGCTATGAGCGTAAATTCTATATGATTAATAATATTAGGCTTTTAGTTAATGAGTCAAGTGGACAAGGCTCTGGACAGATAATCAGAAAAAATTTGGTGTTCACCATGTATAGAAATCTGATGATGTATCTGCAATGTCATCCAGCCAAGGAAGAGCAGGAGGAGAGGGGAGGCTGGTGCACGTTTGTGTGTTTTCAGGTGTCCTTGTGGTCTCCAAAAAACTGTTTCCAGGAGAAAATACTCTCACAGGTTGCACACATTGTCAGACAGTGCTGGATGCTCTGGCCTTCCCACTGCAGTATGACTGGCTTTGGCTTTCTCAGCTCTGTAGGAAGATATTCATTTCCACTTAACACTTCAGAGGGAATAGGGTTTAACTTGTTTCCAGTAAAACTCTCCAGTGATTTTGACAAGTTGGGCACTATGTGAAAACCAGCTGCAGGTGACACATAAAATAAGAATGGGTTCCCATGTCCAGAGAAATATTTTGCATAGTGGGTTACCTTGTCTCTTTTACAGCATATTTATTTCAGGCCAAAAAAAAAAAAAATCCTGCTGTTATCTACATTTTTAGAAGTAATCTTGTAAGGCTGTTTCTTTTGTAGTCACTTAAAAGGATAACTGGAACTATTATCAAATTTATTATCACATTTCCCACTGACTAAGCCAGCCAAAGCTGGTGGCTGACTTGCCTCTGAGCAGCACTCGTGCATTTTATGCTATGAAAAATACACCTAAATAGTCTCTCATTTTCTGTATTTGTTGTTTCATAGGCATCCATGCACCTTTGGCTGACAGTGTGTAATGTCACCACACACCCAATCATGCTCCAGCCTATGGAGGTTTCCAAGGTAACATAGCCACAGTCGCAGGGAAAGGAGAAAACTGAAAACAAAGCAAAAAACCCTGCAGCATTTCTATTTACTCAATAGTTTAAAAACCACTAAAGAGTAATCCTTTAGTATAAGCTGTCTGTATTGTCATGCTAAACAGGTTTATCTTACTTCTCCTTGATTTTCATCGGGCTGTGGAATGCCAGTTCAGAGCATTCCTTGCTGATAAGAGTGGTTATTGGAGTCTTGCTGGGAGCAGACCTTAGGAGATACTTCAGAAACACGGACAAAATAGTCAGTTCCTGCCTGTCCTGAAAGAATACAGAAAAAACCTGTTGTATCAACACTAACAAGCAGGTTATCCTTTCCAGCATCAGTCTGAATGATGGTGAAAGGCTGAAGTTACTGCAGCTCTATATGCTTCATGACAGTTCCTTCTGAAAGACCCTGGCCTTATTTACACCAAATTAATGTTCCCTTTCAGTTGGTGTAATGAACTAATTAGTGGACAAATTATCAGCAAGTGGTATTGTTTTAAACTCCCTCTTTCACTTCATGACAAATCTGAGCGCACCGTATTTTCATGTTAAAGTGTTCCCAGGATTTCTCCTCTTTATTATGTTGACTTCTGGCAATGTTGAAAGAACTTTGCTTAGGAACAGAAATTATATTAGTTTTGTGAGTGAGATTTTTTGCACTATGGACACACAGCATCATGTTTGGAGACTGATGCAGAGTGCAATAACTTTTTTCCTGCTGAGGACAGAGGGAAGCAGTGTTTGGGGGTCTTCTGGTGAAGTCGGCTGTGTCTGCAGCTGAGGACCAGCCTGAGCTCCTGCTGCCAGGCCCTGCCATGCTGCCACATCTGCAGCCATCCATGGCACTCCTGCTGCAGCCCCTTGCAAAAACAGACAGGGCAGTGCTGGCAGGATGTTCCTGGCAGCAGTGCCAAGACTCTGGAGCTGCTCTCTGCACCCACTGGCTGTGAAGTAGTCCAGATCTGGGGATATTCCAGGAATGTTGGAAAAACCACCTGTTCAGGAAGGTCTTTGGAGGGAGTCGAGTGTTGGCTTCCCAAGCCTGGCAGCTGGTGCAAAGGAGTGTTTTTCTAGGAGACAGGCTTGCTGTGTTCCTTCTGGAATAATTATGAAATGCTGGTAGGGCTTTGTTGTATTAGTAATTACTTGTCAAGGCACCTGAAGCTTTTCATTCTTAAAAATCAAACAGTACATAATTCCTGTAGAGCCAAACCCTGGTAAATAGTGGAGAGGAAGTTTTGCAAAGCTGTAAAGAGCTGCTTTGCTCACTTTTGGAAAGCACTGGGAAAAATTTCTCAGCTCTGTCCATCACCCTCTGTGCTGGAAAATGGGCACAGAATAGTATTGAAGCAGCTACCTAAGCAAAGAAGGGGGATGATGGATGCTGTGCCCTTTTCAAACGATGGTTCACAAGGCATTTGAGGATTGTTCTTCAGAGACCATTAAAAAGAAGCTTTAGAGGAGGAAAGACAAGTTTTGGCAGGCAGGATCAAGAAGGATGTGTGTTTGCTGGGTGGTGTCATAGATCAGAACCACACCAACCTTTTGAAACTAATTGCAGCAACGAGCAGTGATGAGCTGCACTTACCTGTCTCTCTTGTGTGTCTTAGGCAGCTTCTACTTTGATATTTAATTGCCTCTAGAATTGGCAATGCAGATTATTGAGTGTGGGGAGGGAAAGGAATAAAAGCTTTTGCATGGTCTAGTCAGAGATTTTTAGGGAAGGCATGAGATCTGGAAATGCCTGGGTAAATGTTTGTGTGCTGGATGGGGCTGGTACTGGTGGGAACATCAGTGGGAACAGAAGGAAAATATGGGATGGGGCTGGTACTAGTGGGAACATCAGTGGGAACAGAAGGAAAATATGGGATGGGGCTGGTACTAGTGGGAACATCAGTGGGAACAGAAGGAAAAGGTGCTCTGAGATTCCACGGCCGAGGCTTTGCCATGGTCTCTGCACTCAGCAGAGATGTACAAGCCCTCTGTGATTCCTCCAGCTGCATCCCAGCAGCAGCACTTCAGAGGAGGGGCAGATGCACAGAGCTTATCTGGTTACATCTCAATAGAGCTCCTGCTTGATATTGATGGGAGCTTTGAAGCTCTCCAGCCACCGTGCATAAATGTTTCAGGGGTAGGATCCGCTCTGAGTGCAGAGCTGGGTCTGACTCATCCCAAGGAAGCAGCCCCTCCTGCCTGGCAGCTCTTCTTTCCCAGATTTTGCATTCTCTTTCTTCTGTCCCTGCTGGTTGTGTACCTTGTACCACCCATAATCAGCTGGAACATGCAAATAGTGTTATTTGCCTGCAAAAAAGTCTGATTTTACTTAACTTCCTTCCAGTTATAGAACTAATTTTCAATACTTAACACCCAGAGTCCTGTGCAGGTGGCTTGGGCTGGCCACCCCAAACACTGGCCTGGCTAACCAGAGTTTGTGTGGAAGGCATCCCTGCTGTCCTTCCATCAGAAGAGAAATACTCAGTTGTAATTGCAATATTTCTGATTGTGATTGAAAGCTGTTGGTTTTGCTGTGACCTCCCTACCCTTCCCTGCATCTTGTGCCCAAGCAGGAGCTCCTGGCTGCCCCTGCACTGTTCTGCAGGGAATTGGAAGGGATTTCTCTGTCACTTATCATCAGAGGACTCTCCCTCTAGCAGCAAAGTCTGGCTGAAGCAGAGCACAGTGCTTTTCCACAGCCCAGCCTGTACCACACTTGGACTGCCATCCCTCTTACCTTACCATTACAGCTTTAGTCAGCTGGTGATGCTAAACTTGCCTCCCAATTCTTTGCGAGCACAACAGGCTGAAATTATCGTTGATGCTAATGACCGATTATTTAATTCTATTTTTCCTGATGCCCCAGGTCACTGACTCGGATTACGAGGACGAGTTGCCCAAGCACTCCTTTGTGAACCATTACATGAGCGACCCCACCTACTACAACTCGTGGAAGCGGCAGCAGAAAGGGGTGAAGCAGCACCCGGCGTCCTACAGATACGAGGAGTGCACGGCCAGCGAGGCAGAGCCCTATTTCCAGACTGTCATCACGACACAGAGCTCAGGAGGGGTGTACACCCCCACGGGACAGCCCGCGCCCGGCTCCCGGACTCCAGTGACAGGATTCTCGTCCTTTGTCTGAGCGGGGCTGGGGACACGGCGGGACAGCCGCAGTGACCGCGTGTGCGCGGCCGGGGCGCTGAACTGTGGGGGACCTCTCTTATCAGGGTAGAAACGGATGGGAACACACCTGAGGCTGGGTTGTTGGTGTTTTGGTTGGTTTTTTTGTTGGGGTTTTTTTTTTTTTTTTCTTTCTGAAGACAATCAACTCTATGAAAACACGGAGCTGAACTAGCTGAACCTTTGTTTAAGAAAACAAAAAGAAAAAAAAGGAATTCTGAACAGTGATGATTTTAACCACTTGTGAATAGTAGGGGTTTTTTAACTGCTTTTTGTAACACTGCTTCAGGAAGCAGCTCCCATGCCCTTCTCCTTCCCTCTTTCTTTCTCTCCCCTCCTCCTGTCCCACTGCTCCCAAACAAGCAGGTGAATTCCCTAGATGCAATGAGTGACTCTGTGATGTGATTTGAAGAGAAAACATAAAACCTCCCAGGCTCCTTTTTCTTCCTTTTTCTCTACTCTTTTTTATTTTCTTTTTCTCTTCTTTTTAATTTTTCTCTGTCATCAGAGTTAAGTAGTAAAACATAGAAAATGGACACATTTTTAGGTGAAAAGCAGACACCTCTCTTCTCCTCGCTGCTCCACACATTAGGAGCACTGGCTGATCAATGTAGGCTCAGATGTGTCACTGTGTCTGCTCTAAGCTCACTACTGGTGTATTTATATTGAATTACTGACCTGCTTTTCTTTCTTCTTCAAATGGGACCTGCTGCATTCTTTAAATATTCCAACTCCAGGGCCTCTGGAAGAGGAGATGGCTCAAAAGAGCGCTGTAGGCAGTGGTGGGTGAAGCAAGTGGGAAGAATTCAGATGTAAGGTCAGTTTATTTTTGGTGTGGCTCTAATCCTCCTTGTGTACTGCGTGTACCATTTGAATCAGTCATTTTTTAAAAGTCAAAGGACACAACCCAGCAAGCCAGAGGAATTTTTCAACTAAAATTGCAGTGACAACCTAGAGAGTTTACTAATTGATGAGGGTTTTGATCATCAGAGTTACCATGCCCTGCCAACAGAAGTTGAACATCCTTTCTCACCCAGACTCTGCCATTCTGTTTATTGGTCTGTAAAAAAGTACACAGTGGCAGGGTTTGTTTGATTTTATTTTTTTAGTACAAAGACACACCACACAGACTGGGTGAGTTTTGGTGTCCACAGGTGCCTTTTATTGATTCTGCAGCTTCATCTCTGGGAGAAGCAAAAAAGTGTCTCCAAATAAAGCTAACCAGTTTTTTCAGGCATTAGGGTCATGAATTACCTTGTGCACGTTTACAGCCTGCTCTGTGCACTTGAAACTACAGCCTTTGGATAGAAAAGAGGAGACTTTTATTTTATTTTTCATCCTTTTGTACAGCTCACTTTTTGTTTTCTTCTTTTCTATCCTTTTCCTGAATCTGTCATGTTTAGTAGCAAGTTGTTTACTCACAAGGAAGTTGTCAGATGTTGAAAGAATCCAAGTAGCAACAGTCCTGGGTCACCAGACTTTTTGTCATAAGAGTTTGAAAGGTGAATTTGGAAGTAGGAGAGTCCTTGCCACACCAGGATTTGGCATTTCCTTCCAGGTGGATAAGACAGGAAAATTGGTGCTTGCTAATGTCCTGTCAAGGCTCATGTGGCATTGTTCCCACAGAAAATTGTCCCTGTCCTCTCGAGGGATGTGGGACATCTGTGGCAGGGGGAGGTGGTGTCTTCAGAGCAGGTTGTTGAAACCAGGCTGCCCAGGGGCCTGGTTGGGAGTATCCTGGTGGCACATCACCAGAACAGCTGAGGTCCAAGGGCCAGCTCAGCCTTGCTGTCACCTTTCAGTGCCTCTTGGACAGAACAAACAATCTCAGAACTGCTTTTACTCTTGGGCACTGCCTCCGAGCACTGCTGCTCTTGGTGCACGCACACTCTGCAAAGCTTTGGCACTGGACTGCTGTTCCTCTCCAAAGGTTCCAGGAAGAAAAAGTTCAAAACCAAAAACTCCAGTGGGTGTGTTTAAGGGCTTTTGAGTTTGGGATAATGATCTGCAGCTCATTAGATGGCAAGGGACTCGCAAAGACACGGCTGAGCCAAAACCCTGAGTCATCCCCCTCTCTGCACCTGGGTAGGATGTGTGTGGGATGGAGATGGGGCTCCAAAGAGGATGACTTGGAGTGTGCTGTGAAGAGGAATGCAAAGCAAACAAAAAACCCACTGCCTTCTGTGCACTTTGACTGTTCTCTTAAGCCATATGGACTTTGCTTTAATTACTGAACTGCCAAAATTTGTTTTCAGTCTGTGTTTTTTGTTTCTTAGACAAAATTATCTACGTGACTTTCTGATTTGTTTTCCTTTTCCTTTGTCATTTCCTGCATTAGATTACATATTTTAGACACATTCTTTTTATACATTTGACACAGCTCTTGAAATTTTAATGGCACTTGTCCAACATGTGTAAGAGGTAGTGCTGCAGGAGGAGCCCTCCAAGGACCACTGAGGACTTTAGGGATGTAAATTAGTAGGAAGTAGATGGAACACCGAAGACTTTGCTCCAAAGAAATGTATAGTGTAACTCCACATCTCCTGAATATTGCCTTACACTTGGTGTAAGGTGCAACTACTCCCTGGGGTTGATCTGATATCACATTGAGGACAAGAACCCCAAGAAAACCACAGGGAATAAAGGAAATGGACTTCGTGGCCACTGCTCCGCTGAAGGACAACATGGGGAGCAGCACAATCTGTACAAAGCGAGGAGAAGAGGCTATTTCCTTTTTTCTTAGAACCAGCTGCAACTAAAAAGTCTGAGCTTGCTGAGGGCCTGCTGAGCTGGCTGTGTGGCTCTTTTCTTCTGACTGCTGTCAAAATAACAGGTTAGGTGTGATTCCTTTAGGACCTGTTGATCCCAACAAAGGTATTTCTGTTCCATTCTCGTTCACACTGTTGTCACTCTTGGTTATGTTGTGTTCAGGAGTTGGCTTTTCTGACACATGGGTTTATTTTCAATAGGCAGTTGCAGAGTGAGGAGCTGCAGTGCCCTGCCCAGCCCTCAGCTGAGCACAGGATGTGTTTTCTGCTGTGCAGGATCGTGCAGCTCCATGTGTGATGCCTCCACCTTCCTGCTAACACACTCAACTTGTAAAATATGGTTAATAGGTAGGTTTTATTTACTTCACACATCAGGGAAATTGTTTTATCTGGAAGGAAATACTCCATCAGTTAGGCAGAAAGCTCTATTTCATTGCTGCAATCTTTGGAAATTGCAGCCTTGAAATACAACTTTTAAACATTAGTTGTCATGTTACAGTAACTTCACCCATTGAATTCGCTTCCATTTCCATCTTCCTGTTTAGAATAGTCTTGAAAAATGAAGGCTTATGTTTAAAATGCCTTCTCAGGATATTTTATTTTTATTTATTTATTTCCCTTCCCGTGTTTCTCAGGTCTCTTGGTGACTGTTACTGAAAAATAAAAGCAGCATCATGAAATGACCAAGGGAGACATTTCAGGGAATGGTTTAATAGGAGCTTGTTTTTCATACAATAGCCATAACAATATCCAGTCTCCTGCAGGTAAAGAGTGCCCAAGTCTTCACCCCCTGCAGGGCTGAGGTGACAGCAGTCACCACTGTCAGCAGTGGCCCCAGCCCCAGACCTCAAGTTGTCTCTGTCATAAAGCACATGCAAAAGTGCACACATAAAGGAGCTGTGCTGTTGCAGCCCACTCCAAGTAGAGCATTTTATCCCCCCCAAAATCCGTGTCACACGTGGTGTGTCTCTACCATGGCCCACACCATTGGGTGGAATATTTTCCAGTCCTGCCTTTTAATGCTCTGATCTTTGGGCAGGGCCAGCACTGTGCAGGATAGAAATGGCAGTGGTGACAAGGGACAGGAGAGAGCACTCCTTTGCTTTCATCAGTGACAGTCTCTTATTCCCTGCCCTGGGAGTCACTCATGGACTGCCTTCATGGGGAGGGCAGAGACAGGTGAGAGCAAAGGCTTTCATCAGCAGTTACTAAAGGAATCAGACTTTGCCCAGTGATCCCACTTTTGGGAGCAGTTGGCATGACTGGAGAGAAAAAAGAAAAATACACAGAAAAGAAACTAATCTATTACTCATAAGGATTTCTTTTCCCTCTTCATTTTGAGTGTTAAAACCAGTGATGTTTTGCAGATGGGCCAAGATCTCATTTTTCTTCCTTATGCCAAGGTCTTTGCCAGAAGCTGTGTAGCAATTGTTTGGACTAAATATCTTGACATGGGGATGCATTTATTATCCTTGCCATTGCTTCCCTCAAGAAATCTATTGGGTCATCCAAAGATTATCTAATCTGCTTTCCAAAAAGGGAGGAGAGAGAGATCTTTTTACATACAGAGCACTGGTGTCTTCTCCCACACATTGCTTTCAGATATAAAGGACAACTTGTTGGAGGAAAATCCTTTTAGAAAAGGAATTTATCAGAAACTTTAAAAGAAAGCAAACAACCACATAAGAAAGATAACCTCTGACAGAGGCATTAGAAATCTTAAAGTCCAGAAGCCTGTGATGTGTAGGAGTGATCAAGATGCCAAGACCTCCTTTTTTTACTGATCTCCTGTACCAGTAGCAGCCAGAAGGACACACCCAGTGAGGGGTGATATTTGGAAAGGAAGAACCACAGAGCTGCTGGGACATAGGCATGTTGTGCTGGAGAGAGCTCCACTCAGCCAGGAGTTCCTGCTGGTTCAGTCACATTCCTTAGATTGCTTTTATGGGTTGTTGCCAGCACACGTGGAATCCACACATTATCAAGGTGTTCCTAGAAGCTGCGAGGTTACTGGAGGTGAGGAAAGGTTTGTTGGTGTGGTGTGGTGTTCAAACAAAGCCACACATGTAATGATGTTGTTTTGCAAAATCCATTGAAGCCTCCTTGTGGAAACCACCCTTGAATTAGGAGCATGTTGACCCCAAGACTGAACATAATGGGCCTGAAATGGCTCCCCCTGACAAGACATAGAATCCCAGAATGGTTTGGGTTGGAAGAGATCTTAAGGATCACCTTGTTTGAACCCCCTGCCATGGACAAGGACACCTTCCACTATGACCAAGTTGCTCCAAGCCCCGTCCACCCTGGCCTTGGACACTTCCAGTCCGTTCTGTTCTTTGTATTTCTGTACTCCTTTTGTCCTCCCCCTGCACTCCCAGAAAAAGAAAGCTGCCTTGCACTTTGTGCAGGTGTAAAGTTCACTGCGCCGGACAGCAGAGAGCCACAATGGATAAGCACACACATGACACCTGGGACAGGTGAGATTTGTTTGAACAAGGAGCGAAGTACCATTAGCACTTGAGATTCAGGCTCTGACTCAGAATTTTATCTTCTCAAAGCTGCCACTTGCCCACTTTAAATGGCCTTGGGGCCTCAAGACTTGACAGGAAATTCATTATTTCGATGCTGTTTGATCACTGTGCACTTTCTTGAGGCTTGAATCACTGGATACAGAGACAGGAATGGGGTTACAGAGCTTTATATCAAAGTGTTTTCCCATTTGTGTCCAATTCACTGGATTTGGGAATTTCTGCTACCATGGAATGGTGGTGTTCTGCAGGTGGGAACTGCCACCAGGGCTCCCTTTGATGTCATTATGCCCCTGGGCCGTGCTGGGGCCTGTCACAGTGCAGTGGGAGCTCTCAGGTAGCAGAAAGGTGCAAGAACCCCGTATTCTGGTGAGTTTGTAGCTGGTCACTTTGCCTCTCTTGGGCTGGAGTCCATCCTCTGAGTTGGTATCTGCTGTCAGCTGTGGGGTAGGACCACCTCACACAGCTGTGTCTGAGCTGCCCTTCGGTGTACTCCGGTTATCGGATCATTGCTTTTAATTCAGTGTCTCCTTGGAGATTTGCCCTGGATTTTTGTTCCACACCTCTTGTTAGCCTCACCTTCACCACTCCACTATTTTATATGAGAAAGTTACTTCTTCTTTTGCAAACTTGCTTCTGATTAAAAGAACCCTTTTGGAAACATCTGTGTCCTTGGTACATTTGTTCTGTAGAATGTAAAAAAAGGATTTTTCCAGACTCTTCTGTTGCTGAAGAAATTTCTGGGTGCCTTGCCAGCATGCTCACGAGTTAATGGCTCAGGACACTGAGAATGTAACATGGACTGAAATTCCTCACTGTTTGCTCTGGACTGTAAAATCTTACAACCCCTGCTGCTTCTCAGCTAAGCTGACACTCTCAAATAGTTTCCACACAGAATTTGATCAGTCTTAAATATTTTATTATTTTGCAGCAATAAACTTCCTCAGACCCTTAGTACAGGAGAGTCAAAACCCACTCAGAACATCTCGGGGCCAACATTTTTTATGCCTTTGTCCCCTCCCCAGCAGTGTTGTAGCAGTTGTTAATCAGTTCCCACAAACGTGCAGATGTTGGGGAGGCAGGACGAGATCCCAGCTGGGGAAAATCAGGGCAGCTCTGTTATTCCAGGGTGGTTGGTTGTGCTTTTCACCCACTGAGCACCTGGCCTAGAGAAGTAAACTAAACATAGTCAGGTCAGCTACAGCTCTGGTGGGAGAAATGAGGGCAAGAAATCAATGTTTTCCAAGAGGGAGAAGGGAAGAAAAAAAATAGTCAAACTGTGAAGGAAAGAACTCATTCTCCTGCTCCTGAAAAGGATGTTATAAATAATGCAGTGTTGTGTAAATACAGGCAGCCCTTTGCAGCTGGGAGCTTGTAATAACCCAGAGGTATCACTGTACCCATTTTAAAGATGAAAATCCTCCCGCCACAGCATTTTGTGAGCGAGACATTATCCTGCAAAATTGCCATAAGGTGCAGAAGTGGTTTTTTGAGGCCATTTGGCTCCAAAGTGTATCATCCTCCAGCTTCCAGCCCTTACTCGTCTCGGGATGTGTTTCCCCCACACGTTTTTGTGGCTAGGATTGGAGCACGGACATAAACATGGGAGTGGATGGGAAATGTGCCACGGTATTCGCAGCCTAAACAATGCCAGAGAAAACAGATTGGCTTCCCTCCCTGCCCTGAACAGCACAAGCAGTGGCTTGACTGAATCAAGTAATCTGGGCTTTCATTACCGATCCTTTTCCTGCTATTTGTCTCTTTTGTTCCCTCTTTTTCCCCCTGCGTTTTTGCTCCAGGGTTATTTATTTTTCTCCTCGCTCCTTTTCTTTTCTGTTTTTTATTTTGTAGGCCTGCCTCTTGTTTTTATTATTTTTCCTCTCCTCCTCTTGCCTCACTAATTATTTTCATTTCAAACCTGCATTTCGCACAAAACCAAAAGGAACTTTATGTGAACACATGTTTTTTTGTTGGGTTTTTATTCACTTCTACTGTGCTCCAGGAGTTCTTTAGCTTTGCTGTGTTGTTTACTTAGAAATGCTGGGCACGTCCCTCCCAGCCAAGTTGGTGTGGCCGCTGACTTCCCAGCCTGGTAGAAACCTTCATTAAGTAGGCAATTGGCACGTTCATCACCATTTGTTAACGAGTTAGGATAATCCTAAATCAGACGAGGCTGATGTGTGAAGTCATTCTTCGAGGCTTTACAAGGCAAATTTGTCAGCAGCGCTGAAACCTGTGAAGTCTTGTGGAATCAGAGGATCAGCACCTGCCTGTGGAGGAACAAGGAAGCTGCAAACCATGGTTGTGTGACAAAAATGTGTTCAGAGGAAGAAGGGACCAACACCCATGGTGTCACTCAAAGGTAATTCCTGCTTTGTGCAACTTCCAAGGGGTTCTGTGAACCCTTTGTGCTGATGACACACACCCTAGAAGAGCAGCTGCAAGGACTTGTTCTTTGCCCCGAGCCTCCTTAATCTGAGTTTGTGCCCTTTGTGCATTTCACAGAAGGTGTAGATAAGGCTAAAAGGCAACTTGGGAAAAAGAGCCTATGTAATATAACCTGGGGCCTCATGCCAAGAGTGACAAAGTGCCTGACAAACACAGGTGACCTCACCACAGTCCTGCCAAACTGGGAAGGATGAATACCCCACCTGTGGTAGGAGGAAATTGAGGCACAGGCCATTTTTGCCTGTGGGACCAAGCTGCAGTCTGTGTGGCTGCTATCAGTGTGCCCAAGTGGCCTTGACTGCAATGTTCTCAGCAGAGGGCGAAGAAAACACATCTTTCTTACAAAACAGCAGGATGAGTTATTTTTGGGTCTTTATAAATTGTCTGTTTTCCGACACTATCATTCTTACCCTACCAGGGGAACACGACTGACCTAATTAGAGTCTAATTCCAATAGTACAAGGCTCAACTTTTAAATACAAACTTTTTTCAATCTTGAATTATTTTTTATGTGTGTACAAGCACATCTGATTGGTATGAACCCCAGAGGCGGGGTGCCGAGGAGGAGCAGGGCAATGGGAGTCATCAAAGAAGCTGATGGTGGGAAAACTGGGATAAACAAGGGTCAATTTTCAGCTCTATTTATGAGACTGACTTAATCTGCTGGGAGACTGTATCCTCTGGGATTAAACCTCACATAACCTGATGGAAATTGGGAAATGTTTGATCCCCCACCATGGGGAGGACTGGCAGAGGAAGGATTCAGTATTTCAATCCTCTGTCCAGCAAAAAACATCCAGGGTGATCGATGAGGACACTTTCATTGATCCATAGCTGTCTCCACACCACAGAAGAAATTAAAAGGTGAGAGAAAGATGCTTGTTTTCAATGAAGCCTATTTCACAAAGCCAGCAAGGGTTAATCCAAGCAGCCAAATGCTTGGCTTTAGCTGCAATAGAGAAATCCTGTGAGGTTGAGTGATAAGCCTCTAGCCATACCTGCTTGGATTCTCAAGGACTGTGCCTGAACATGTTGGGGATGGCTCACATCCAGCAGCTGCTGATAGGGAGTCCACAATGCCAAATGACTCAAGAGTCAAACAGCTTCATCCCTGCCCTGAGTGCATACCCAGAATGTGTCCAGCAAAAACATCCAGAACCCAGGCACTGGAGACAGAAACAATGGGCCAAACTCTGCCCTTGGGCAGCAATGTGGCTCTGAGTGCTCGGTCTGGCTGAACAGAGATCCTGACTCCAAAACAGATTCCAGAACTGGATTGTTTGTAATGTGTGTCCTCATGAGAGAGGGTGGTTTGAAGGTAAGGGGATGGTGGTAGAAAGGGCTGCATGTCATGTGTTTGGAGATGATGGTTTCAGGGTCATGTCATGATTTTTGTCTTTTCTGGCTTGACTTCTGCTTTGGAAGTGGCTCAGCAGAAATTGAGGTCATTGCAAGTGGAGCAATGACACTTTCTGAAAAGCACTGGCTGCTTCATGCAGTGAGACTGAGCTACCAGCTGGGAGGTCTGAAAAGCCAGAGTTGTTCTCTGGGTCAATGTGAGACAGGCAAAGGAGAAGTTGTCCTTGGAGGAACTGGTGTCCGAGCATGAGCGGGGAGTGTACACAGCACTGCCCCCACTGTGATTTCCAGAATTGGTTTTACACTTTAACACTGGCTGTGGCTTATAATTTTCCATCCTTGCTCAGAAATTATAGAGGAGTGAAAGGGAGATGGGTTTCAGCTGTCGACGCTTCAGGAGCATTCAGCAGCATTGCTGGATGAAAGGAACAATGTGGTCTTTTTGCACTGCAGAGGTCTCAGAAATACCCAGGCATGAAGCACTGTGTGGTTTTGGGCTTGGTGAGAGGGAAGGCAGAAGCTGGTGCCAGCCCTTCGTCCTCCCCTGGCTGCTGGAGCTCTTTGAGGATGTCATACATCTGGTGCTTTCCTATTTCGTCCTTTCAAGAGGCTCTTTTGAGAGTAAGGTTTGTAAGGAAGAGCCAGGAATAAACAGCTCATGGTGCTGTTTGTGGGATGAGAGGAAAATAAGAAAGGAATTGTTAAAGATGGGACAGTCAGTGAACAAAACCTGGTTATTAATGGGGCTGACATTTTGCTATGGCTGTTAGGTGTGTGTTACAACACAACTTTTCCCATAGTATGTGGAGGAAAGGAAAAACTTTAGGTCTGTAACACAGCAGCTAACAAGACATTATCTTGCAAATAAGATAATAAGCATTATCTTGTTTGCAAGATAACTTCTCATTCTCTCTAACAGAGAGCCTGAGATGCAGGGGAGTGTTTTTTCCTGGGGATGGCCATCCTCCAGTGCTCTGCACTCTTGCAGGACTTCTCTCCCCTTGGCCTCGTTCAGTCCCACCAAGCAGACAGTCGTAAAATCACCTCTCCTTCAGGGACCCTCAAGTTAAAATGTTTGTTTCTCTATCTCTCTGAGCTTTTAAAAACTGAAGTTCTGCATGAGTTTTAACACCATCCTCTGTGCTCCATCAGTACAGTCACTGCTCTTCCAGTTGATCTAAATTGCATTGTCCCATTTTACTGGTGACTACAGCCAGTTATCACAGTTCATGTCTCCTTCTGTTTGTGTTAGCCATGGCGACCATCAGCTTTTGAATCCCCAGGTATCTCAGTTCCTTGGTCACCTGTTCCCTCCCAGCTCTGAGGAGTGCAATGTGTTGGCACAGCAGAAGGACACTGTGCTCCAGGGTGACTGACACAAACACAGGAAGGGTAGCCAGGGCATGAAAGCACCCTGCCATTGCAAAGAGGCATGGTAGATAATGTGTGAGTTAATATTGAGCTGGGATTGTTGCCTGGCTGGCACAGCAAGAACAAACATGCCAGGAACCACCACAGTGTGAGGGATCACGTGGAGGGCAGGGCCATGGCTTCAGTGCTGCCCAGGACCATCGTAGGACAATCTGCTGTGGGGGAAGAGGGTCACACTCAGTTATTCCTCCTCTCCCCAGGGCATAAGAATAAATAGTCTTTTAATAGCACTGTGTGCATCCCCAGGGCTCCAGCAAGCCTTTTTAGAGCCCTTGGGATTTGTTATTAATGAGGAAAGCAGTGGCAGTGTGTTGGTGTCAGTAAGAAGGGCAATGTCAGAGAGGCTCAGGCCATGTGTGCTCATGACCCAGAGGAGGACATTCCTTTTGGACCACTCTGGGTCCTTCATAGATGCAGGTCTCT